CTGAGGACACAGCATTCTTCCAGAATCTCGGGTAAAGATAAAGGTAAAGGTGTCAATTCAAATCAACCTTGGTTTACATTTACATGTATAATAAGTCTTGAACATGTTGAGGTGGCGATTAGATATTGTTTCTCATATAAACCGCGAAATTATATTTTATATTTAGCTATCATGCAGGCCCGTTTAGAAAAGAAAATCCTAGCAAGACAAAATTTACTTCAGTTTTATTAAGTCTTGAAGGGGACAAAATTGCTGGTAATACTCACATAGTTAAAAATCAGCTCATTATATCTCCGCCACACTTCCGGAAGGTCGGATTGTTGATGGAGAAACGCCCACAATTCTCGAAAACCAGTTATCTTGCAGAGGCGAGATAATGTGCAACATGTGAATCCCAAACGTGTAGTGTATAATCCACTTAGAAAGGTCCAAGTTGTACTATTCCCCTTTTCTCAGGGTTTTTCCCTAAATGACAACACGAGTTCGAATCGCGGGGAACTTCATGTACTTCTAGTGTGGTGGACTGGTAGCCGTCAAAGTACGCGTGCCTGTCCTGCACCCGAATTCCAGGCCGTTCAAACAGTCCGCCCTACCACAGGTAGCAGACACAGAATTATACTCGTGTTATACCATGCCTATGGTTATACCAGTGCGTTATACTTGGCTGTACCATGAACCCTGGGCCGCGTCTCACAAAACCGTCATAAGTACAAGTTCCGCGACATCCTATTGAAACGCGTGTTAAACTTAATACACGCATTTCAAAGGGATGTCGCTAAACGTGTTCTTATGACGGTTTCGTGAGATTCAGCCCAGGTTAATACACAGCTCGTGACATATATAGCAGCGCATCAGACTGTGAGCAATTGTATTGGCCTATTGTATTTACCCATATTCTATTGATCTAGTGGAGTTTGTTTAAATGCCCCATACACAACGAAGAGCCCGACGCTAGAAGGTTACTTACAAAACACAATTCATGGGGCGCGACGGCTCACTGGTAGAGCAGTGGACTTGTTACCGGGTGCAGTGGCGGAACCAGGGCGGGCGGGGGGGGGGGGGCGACAGGTAAAAACAGGTTAATTTTACCTTTATTTGGAGACGGGCCTCCTCCCTTGGTGCCACAAAGGGGGGGGGGGGGGGAGGGGGTGCTTTTTTAATGTTTGTTTTGGGGAAACAAAAAATTAGTGCTTAAATACTACCCCCCCCCTCCCACCCCCGCTTATTCACCGGCTAGCTGTTTCACCACCTGTTTGGCCCCCTCCCTGCCGGCGGCTGGATCAGCCCCTGACCGGGAAGTTCCAGTTTCGAAGCTAATTCGATGCACCAAGTCGCCGGGAGAGGACTAAAAAAGGTGCCGGTCCCCTGGTTGCAGGCATTTTAGTAGTCATCAAAACAAATATAGTTCTACCCCTCCATCATAACACAATCAATGTGTTTGCAGTAAAGCAGTCAGCTTTTAAATGCTCTAAGTACAATTGTTCGTCGATCATCCCCCCAAAATAGTTAGAATGCAAATAAACATTGAAGCATTTTGGCCTATATCAAGATTGTAGAAACCATGGGTGGCATTCTCGAAAGCGGACTAACTTTAGTCCATGGTTTAATTCACAAACTAAGTATGCAATGCCAATTGTCCATATGAATATGTTTTTGAATAGTTTAATCTGTCACTAAATTAAAATAAAATGTAATAACAAAATTAATAAACAACAACATGTCTATGATATAATTATGTTATCATTATAATTTAAGGTCATATCAAATTATTCAAACATAATGGACACTTGGCATTCCATTCTTAGTCGGTGGATTAAACCATGAACTAAAGTTATTCCGCTTTCGAGAATACCACCCCTTGTGTTCTAGAAGCACCCAACTCAAGGGGGCAGATGTTTCCATCTATCAATGGGAAGGGGCAAAATCATTCATCTCCCTCCCCTCCGATGCCCGCAAGGAGAAAAACGATTAGCCATTACAAAATGAATATTTACCGAGTTTGAACATTACAAATTGTACTTTTCTCTTTTGCTTGGTACGCTCTCTCGCATTTTAGTTGAAACAGCGAAACATGGTTTCAAGAGACTGTACTGTATATACTCAGTCCTATCAGGCCATAGAAGGGTGTGGGTATCGGCTTTCCTCTATTAGACAATAGGGACTTTTAGATTTGCACGTCGATATAGTGGACTGCTACGTGTGACGTCCTATTAAGGCAATGTGACGTCCTTAACAGGACGACGTCACACGCAGCAGTCCACTATGTCGACGTGCAAATTTAAAAAGTCCCTATTTAAATGGGTAACAGGGCAAACTCGCTTTGCCTCCGCCAAGGCTCGCAAGGGGATAATTGCCTTTGAATAATTTTGCAGTATAATAGTATGCTTTTTCGTGCTCCGAAATACAGTTTAAACCTACCCGAATCTTTTGTTCTTCTTCACACAGTAGCTACACCCTCCTGTACAGGGTATGTCAATAGAAGGAGTGTTTCTCATCATGTGTAAAAACGCTGACTACCATAGAGAGGGATGGCGAGAAGGTGCTTCCCTTTAGGGACTTTTAGATTTGCCGAACGACAACGTGGATTGCTATGATCGACGTTCTTTTAATGCACTGCCTTGAATGGACGTCACACGTATCAGTCCACGCAAATCTAAAAGTCCTTTTTATTGAAGGGAGCACGTACGTATGTAGTCCATAATCTGCTCGGTTCTTTATATTCCCTACACACCTGGCAAGCGAAGCCGCCGAAGAGGGCGTTATCAACAAACTCATGTTTATGCTCATCAGCTCAGCCTTTTCCGACGGGCGTTGTTTAATGATTACACCACCAGCGGCTGGTAGTAAGTAAGTAGGGGGAGGTAGCGTTGGTGTGGTGGAGATCAAAATTAAATAGGCCAGATTTTCGACTAATACGTATGTGATGAAATCAATTTCCCCGCCGGCCCGCCCCTCTTACGAAACTAAAAATTCTATGTAGCTAGAGTGTTTCCCCCAAAGCTGCAAAAGAGAAAGGTGAGAATAAAATAGAGGGAAAAAAAAGGAACGGTAGGGAGAATAAATAGTGAGAAAGAAAGAGAAAAAACGGGATTTTGGAAAAGAGAAGGGACCAAAAGCATGGAAGACAAAAAATACATAGCAAGGAAAGAATATAAAGATAGTATACAAAACAGGGGCGGGGCACGTGACGCCAATGCGAATTTTGTATATTTTTATTTAATATTTGCCTTTTGATCCAGGCACTATTTGTGTACATGTTCCTCGTTTTAAATCATCAATTATCAACAACCTTTAGTGTTTGGTGGGGGGGGGCATTTTAAGATTTTGTATGTGTTGGGGGTGGGGCAGGGCCCCAAAACCCCAATCTTTTGGAGCCGCTACTGGCATGGCCTTCCCAAAGGTGATTTGGCTGAAAACAAAAGAAAATAAATCGTGTGCTAATACTTCAGGCTTTTGCCGAGGACCCGGAAACTACATTTATATTGAATTCAAGATGAAGTTTAATTCTTGTCATGCAATTGCAATGTTTAAAAAAAGTGTAAGAGCGACTAGTAGATCATATATCACATAGATATTTCTTATACTGTGAGGTTTTTTGAAACCTTAAAATAAAAAGAAATTAAAGCTATGAGTAACATGCAACCTAAATGTGTATATAGGACTGCACAAGCATGTGGCATGAAAGCGGTTGTCCACAACCTTTACTACTATTACTTGTCATATTTCGTGACTAGTTGATCATATATCACATAGATATTTCTTACACTGTGAGGTTTTTTTAAACCTTAAAATAAAAAGAAATTAACACAGTCTAGCCATGAGTTACATGCAACGTAAATGTGCATATGGAACTGCACAAGCATGTAGCACGAAAGCGGTTGTCCACAACCTTTATCAATATTACTTGCCATATTTCGAGTATGAGGGCATTTTGAATAAAGAGCCATTCTGTTCAAAGGGGCGGTTTTCTGTGATACTCATCCACACTAACAAACGAAGAATGAAAAAACCTTACACATATAAACCTTACCGAGTGTTTATTTGTTTGCAATATTTTGTGTTGTTCTTATTCTGTAAGTTTGTTGTTGTTGTTGTATTGTTTGAATGGGAATTACACCTTTCAAGTTTTTAAAAACTTTTCTTTGTACTTTCAATTTGTTTCTTTTATTACATACATTTAACAACTAAATTATTCATACCCTTGTAAATGTGATATTTTTGTGTTTTTAATAACTTAAGCAAGAAAGGTGGACTGGACAAATATGAGGGCGTTTGTTGGATTCATTTTAGAAGTAAGCTTTAAAGCTTATCTGCCGTAGTTTACAGGAGGGATTAGACCGCTCTGCAAGGTCACTGGACAGGTGGTTATCTCATCAACTCAGCTCTCAGTTAACATAAGAAAAAGAGGATCATGGGGGACCAATGGTCACCGATTATGCGTTGTTTGTTATATAGAGGGCGCAAGTAGCTACCAGTAGTGCAGTGGGCCTTTAATATGTCACATTCTCCCAACAAACATAAATCGGGACAAATCAATTGTTTTGTTATACTTCAACCATTACAACGCTTGGTAGGGGTATGCATAATAAATTTGTTAACTGTATGCGTATAAATTAATTAAATTTACACTGTATATAACATTGTCATTATTTCATTGAGACAAATCATACATTTTACAGTTGAACATTTGAGCAAATAAAATAAAACGTTGAATGCTTGTCCAGACAGGGTTTCCTTTAAAGGTTGGACTTTGCCCCCAATTTGCCCTAGATATCTCGGCTAAATCTCGGGTCAACGGAATAATAGAAGGGAGCGCTTTGCATACAGAGAAAGCTAGGCAACACGATGCCAACACGGCACAATAACTTAACAGCCAAAATACTATTTTGTAACATCGTCGTTTTTTTTTTTTTTTTTTTTTTTTGGGGGGGGGGGGGGGGACTGCTATTTACACTACTAGAAATACCCATAACGAATCGTCGGTGCTTGCTTGGTTCAATTAGTGGTGAGTTGTCCTCATGCGTAACTTGTGACTGTTTGATTGCAGTGTAAAAGCAGCTTATAGATTTTCGCCTTCATCTACAACCAAGCATGCGATACTAGCTTAATAAGTTCAATCATTGCAATAACCCCCAAAATGGCTGTTCGACACCTCGGTGAGTTTGTCGTGATTGTATGCCTGACGTTGCTCACATCTGGGTCCTCGTACGCGGAACAATTACCCAATGTCGTGTTCATCCTCGCTGACGATTACGGATTTAACGACGTTGGCTACCATGGTCGATCGCACGGGTCTGCGATACTGACGCCGAACCTGGACATGCTCGCAGGCGAGGGTGTTAAGCTAGAGAACTACTACGTTCAACCGATCTGCTCTCCAACGAGGAGCCAGCTCATGTCAGGGAGATACCAGGTAAAAACCAGGAATAATTAATCTAGCAACGCCTCTTCAGCCCGCTGTTAATAGTTAGATAATTAAAATGAATTAATGATATATATATATATATATATATATATATATATATAAATAGATGTGAATAAATTAGAATAAATACACATAAATATAAGGATTACAAATAGAGAAATTAGTAAATGACTTCTTTATCGTTCGTCTGTGTCCCCTTAGATCAAGATTACTGTATCTTGATCTTCAGAGTAGTTGCTACAACTGGCCGTGTCAAACACGTTGCCCCGTGGTGCGAGCCGGGTGCGAGATAGGACTCTTGTAGCATGCCCCCACTTCTTTATTAAACTGCTAGACTATAGTTTTGTTCAGACGGAGGCAAGTTACCCTAGGGTAAAGGTTGTGTTAAGAGCTAGTCGGAGTAAATATGGTGAGGTAGGTGTAAAGATAGGAGTAGTGACCGTCTGAACGATGATCGTGTTAGCCACACCCCGACCTATTTACTCCTAGAAAAATCCAGGAGTAACTCACTATTAAATAATAATAATAATAATAATAATAATAATAATAATAATAATAATATTAATATGTCTTGTTTATCCAGGGTAGCCTTATCAGTATTCATACTGTTCTCCCTGACGGCCCTGCAATCATATCAGGGACTTTTAGATTTACACGTCGACAGCTTTGACTGCAACGTGTGACGTCATTTTAAGGCACTGCGCATGCTATTCCCCTTTTCTCAGGGTTTTTCCCCAAATGACAACACGAGTTCGAATCGCGGGGGACTTCATGCAGTTCTAATGTGGTGGACTGGTAGCCGCCGAAGTACTATTAAATAATAATAATATAATAATAATAATAATAATATTAATATGTCTTGTTTATCCAGGGTAGCCTCATCAGTATTCATACTGTTCTCCCTGACGGCCCTGCAATCATATCAGGGACTTTTAGATTTACACGTCGACAGCTTTGACTGCAACGTGTGACGTCATTTTAAGGCACTGTGCATACTATATACTAGTGAGCGGGCCTTGTCCCCCCCCCCTTCCGCAAAAGAGAGAGAGAGAGAGAGAGAGAGAGAGAGAGAAGGAAAAGAAGGGAAAGAGGAGAGAAAGGGAAAGAAAGAAGAGGAAGAAGAAAATAAAAGGGGGAAGAAGGAGATCGGGGGGGGGGTGCGAAAGGGCCTTGCCTCCCAGGCTGTTGCCTCCCCCCGCCCCCGCTAAAAAAGAGAGAGAAGGAAGGAAAGGGAAAAAATAGAGCTAAAAGGGACCAAAAAAGAGGAAGAAGAAAAAAAATGTGAAAAGAATTTCGATGCGGTGTTCGAGTAGAATTCTGTGAGATGATGATATACTTTCTCGTAGCTTGATGTGACGAGGTGTCTCTATCCAGATATCTGTTGATAGTATTATAGAATATAGATGCCTGAAATGACCTTCTGCTCGTAACCGACAAGTCACCGCATTAAAATTAAATTGCAAATAGTGTTTAACAACACGATGGTGGATGTAACTTTCTAATATTCGAAGATATATGACCTTCAGACCATATTGTTTTATTATTTTTTATTCAATCAATCAACGTCAAAGAATTGATTTATCATCGCTCTTCAATTTAGCATTTCACCTTTTAATGTACTTTCATTCTTATGAATCACGAAAGAACACTGAATTGGATTCTTCAATGTTTGTTTTGATTAATTTCCTCCCCTTTCCTTCTCCCTGTTTAATACTGATAAAATTTCAATTTTTCTTAATCAAGGCAAAATATCATTTTCATTTTTTTCTTTATGCAAGACAGGAAGAGAGAGAGAGAGAGAGAGAGAGAGAATATGTTAAGTGAGAATTATCGAGTACAACTATGAATTGCATCCTTTTCAATATTATTCAATTCGCTGAAGATATTCAGAATATGAATATGATAAATCCTCATAATACACCAACGCTGTTCAACGCATCCAGCGCTCCAACCATAGCCCATACGCCAATGTACCATATTTATCAATATGAACAGATTTTTAAATGAAATTTGAAGAAAAATCAAATTTACAATGCACTGACAGGCATCAGTTGAAATCATGAATTCTCTGTGACTGGCTTAGCACTAGTTTCTGAGGGACCAGTCACTAAAGAGGAAATAAAGGGAAGGAAAATTGAGAAAGAAGTAAATAAAAGAAGGGGGATATCAGTTGCAATTTTCCCGCCAACAAGTTGCGGATCGGGATCGGGGTGGGGCAAAAGTACCATTTGCTTCGAGGCTGCGCCTCTCAGCAAATAGTACTATTGGAGTCACCTCTTGCACATAGTTTTAACACAGAACCTCTCAATACAGTGTATATTTGTATAATAAATCCACACAGGTATCGAACACGGAGTCATGAGACACCCTTAAATTATTAATAAACACATTTTAAAAAGCATTTTAGGAAACGAGCTGTTCATATAATGATTATCAACGAGGATGAGGGACAAAGTTTCTCTATAATGTATCCACGTCATCATAGTGATATATTCTTTACCAGATCCACACGGGTCTCCAACACGGCGTGATCAGACCTCCCCAGCCGAACTGTCTCCCGTTGGATGAAGTCACGCTCCCCCAGAAACTCAAGGAGAATGGCTACGCCACTAACATGGTCGGTAAATGGCATATTGGCTTTTACTTGGATGCTTGCTTGCCAACTGAGAGGGGCTTCGATTCTTACTTTGGTAAGGGCTTATTTTAATGAGCATTTTTTAACGAGTAATAAATCTACCACTACTACTACTTGTCCGTGGTCCAAATCCCGCCGCAGCACTAATGTCCTTTGGCAAGACATTGATCTACATTTGCCACTCTCCACCCAGGTGTTAAATGGGTACCCGGTAGGATGCGAAAGCTAATGTGGTAAGTTAAGTAAGTGTGCGCATGTAAAAATGACGCCTGGCTGGAATGCTCCCCAGGGAGTGGAGAATGTGCATACATTGTGTGCGGGTAAGCCTGAATCCAATGACCGGGGTAATAATATACTTATCTGTAAAGCGCTTTGTGAGGGCCTCCGGTCCTGAAAAGCGCTATATAAGAACGAGCTATTATTATTATTATTACTACTACTACTACTAAAATGTTGATAATAGTAATGACAATAACAACAGAAAATACAATAAAATGATAATACTATTGATAATTTCTAAAAAAAAAAATAATGAAAATAATAATAATATTTATAACAATAATATTGATGATAATAATAAAATTAATAAGGATAGTAATAATATCACAAATATTAGATATAATGATTTTTATTAGTATTATTATTATTACTACTATTATAGTGTTGTTAAATATTGTGATGAAAATAACATGGTTAATAAAAATAATGGCAACAACAAGAACAATAATGATTAAAGTAATAATAATAATGTTAACAATACTAACAATAATAATAATACTATACAAACAATAACAGTTATACTAAAATTGAATTATAATAGTATCACTAATAATTATTGCAATGGTATAATAATAAGTAACAGTTAGAGTCAAACGTGCTTTAGCAGCAACCTGTATAGACACACCACCTGTCTATACAGACCATATTTTCTGCAACCCTCGAAAGTAATTAATTATGTAAACATATATGAAAACATAGGCCTATGCTAAAGGAAGCTGTACATAAAGATCACCTGCCTAGAAAGATCACTTTTCGTGTCTCCCGTTAACGATTTTTATGTACAGGCACTATGAATATGACGGACACAGAAAGCAGACAAAATATACAGTTCATCATTCTACCCTCAACAATTGCTGTGGTATACAAAGGAACATCCCTTCACTGCTATTATGTAAAAATAAGTAGCACAGGTGAATATGCATTTGACACCTGTTCTACACATTTTTACATAATAGCAGTGAAGGGATGTTCCTTTGTCTACCACAGCAATTGTTGAGGGTAAAATGAGGAACTGTATATTTTGTCCGTCATGTCCATAGTGAGGTTTCACTGTATTCTCACTGAACATTTTGTTCTTCTTGTTTTATCAGGATACCTGATAGGAGCTGAAGACTATTACACGCACATGCGCTCCTACAATGTCGGTTCCAAGACCCTATCAGGATACGACCTACACGCCAACAAGACACCGGTCTTTCAGTACGAAGGACAGTATTCCACCCATCTCTTCACGAATAAAACAATTGATGTCATAGAGAGGCATGACAAGACAAAGGTACGTTTACGTGTACAGTTTTTGAAGAGCTCGTTCCCAAAATAGTATCTTTTTCCATTGTTGTTCTTCAAATCAGGGACGTGATAGAGAAGGACTGGAATCAAGCCACTCTCCCTTGACCCCATGCTCCAAGCCGCCGAAAAAGTATGCGCTAATCTTCAACTGTTGACCAGGTGGTGGGATAAAAAGAGCGCATGAAATTTTCAGGATTACGAATTCCTACATCAGAAAATGGTATCGCAGCAACTGTTCGCTGTCCCTTTCAATTATTTCTCATCTATTGTAGAATGTGTAAACAGTTGAACAAGCGAACACAAACTTGTGTAATTTCATCCTTTTTCGAACTGCGAAAATACAAAAAACACGCGAAAACACGCATTAGCAAACTTAAAGTTATCGAAGATTGTAAATCATGGATTGAATAACGGAATATTAAAACGTGCACAAATTAGCACATTATCCTAAAATATTCAATTTTTGTCAGGATCGAATATTTCTTTTACCAACTCTAGCACACAAAAAGGAGGAAGGGCTGTGTCCTAAATTTGAAAAAAAATTGATGCACTTTTCCCGATACAACCCCTGTATAAATGTTATGCCATTTTGCTGGTAATTTTATATTTTGGAATAAGTGAGAAACTGGTGCCTGGCCTCCAAAATTCTCCTCAGTGGAAGCGCGATTCCAAACAAGTGGAATGTTACACATCCCATTGTTATGCTTTAGAACTCAAGAATGCGTTTAAAAAAAATTACAAGAGTTTCGACTCCTCACCTCTCTGTTCACATTTAAGCTTACTCGTCTGCATCATTATTTTCATTTCACTGCTAATTAAATGCGCATTTTTCTTATCTTTAAAAAAAATTCTCCTAGCCAATAGATTAAGAGTGAATTTTCGTTTAAGTTGGTTTTATACATGCTTTCTAAACACAAACTATTTTAAAGGTGCTTGGCACACTTTATTTAAAGGCAACTCTGAACTGTATCTGACTTACTTCAGTTGGACCGGAAAATTTGTACGTCTTCGAGCTAAGCCAATTCGCAGGAAAACGTGTTTTTATGGATTATTTGAGCATTATTCCTATTCGTTCTTTTTCCCTTTTCCTTTTGTATTTGTACATTAAAGCCATTGTTCATGTACATTAATTACTGTAAGTGCTAAAAAAAAGTTTCCTATCTCAGAGCTAAGCCACCTTTCAAGAAGCATATTTCTATGGATTAATTGAGCATTATTATTATTTTTTGATTTCCCCTTTTTCCTCTCTTGTATTTGTCCCTTAAAGCCACTCTTCATGTACCTGGCATATCAAGCTGTACACGTACCTTTGGAAGTACCTGACAGCTACATGGACCCATACATGAACATCACCGACAAAAATAGACGTACCTTTGCCGGTATGGTAGCTTGTATGGATGAAGGTGTAGGAAACATCACAAGAGCTCTCAAGGACGCTGGTCTTTACGATAATACCATCATAATATTCTCAACGGGTAAGGAAATACACGTATTTCTATTTATTTGTAACCCTATCCGGACAGCTATTGTTGTTTGGCTCGATAATGTCTTATCCAGAGCAGGCCCCCACCCCCTCCTCCCTCCCCCCCCCCCCCCCCTCCAAAAAAAAAAAAAAAAAAAAAAAAAAAACATAAAATGAAAATAGATGCAACTAAGAATAAACCTGTAAAGGAAAAGGAGAAAAAACAAGGGAAGAAATACCAGATGCATAAGTAGAAATGGCATTTCTATTCATATGTACATGCCCACTACGTCTAGTTAGGTTGAGTGACCATGAATACAATTTTTAAAGAGGAAAATAAGCTTTAACATCCTTCAAAATGGGAACATATTGGTGATATGTGCCACCCTGTATACTATATGATAAATAAAAATGATAAATAAATATATAAACAAAAAGGGAGGTGCAAAGTAATTTTTTGAACAAAATTTGTAATTTTCGTAGCTTTTCAGGAATGTTCATAGCGATGTTGAGAGACAGTACACTATATTAAAGCAATGTAACAATAAGGAAAAATTATTTGTTGTACATTTGAAGAACTTAAAGTGATTAGTTAAGCCATAAAATCCTGTCATGAAGGTGGACAGGACATGTTTTATACACTTAAAAAATGTCCACTGTGTAAGGTACAGGTAAACGATTTTAAAAAAATGGCTGGACAATAATTGACCATAATGCAAACACAATGTTCGACAGTAGATGGCGACATTGCTGCCACATTGTACAGGTTACACATGCGAGATACGATACTGGGGAGACGATAAGATTTTTTTCCGGCTTCCATAGTGAATGTACAGCAGTGTCAACTAATTCCTTATTTTAATAATTTATTGTGCAGGTTTTATGAACTCCCTCGATGCTTTGATGAGATCTATGTAGGCACTCTCATAATCTGGTAATTTATCTACTAGTTTATTGGTTATGGGGGCTGTTTCACAAAGATCCTAAATTGGACTTAACAATAATAGAAAGCCGTTAGCATCTATACAAATATATTGTAAACGTTGTTTTAAAAGGCATGAAATGTTGATTCAAATCATTCATATTTTCTGTCATCAAGGAGATTTCATGTTCCTGATGTGGAATATATAACAAGTATAAAATAATGGATTTTTCTCTTTTGTATATATTCTATTTTAAGGCTACAAATGGCTCTCCATGATAATTTTGAAGTCCAACTTAGAGTTAAGTTCGACTTAGAATCTTTGTTAAAAACCCCCCAGAAATTATTATTTCTTCCAAGGTCTCGAGCCATTGTATTTGCATGGGATCCAGAAGTGCCTGTGCAAAATATACCCATGGTCGGTACTGCCCTCTATGGTCGAATACCGTAGATTCGGTAGCGAGAATTTTAGCAGGATTGTATGGGTAATGTAAAAATGAATCTTACTGTTTGGTGTGTTCAAGTTAAATGCACATTTGATCACTTATTATTATTCTAGAATTCAATTTAGGTTTCTTTTTTTTTCCTGAACAGATAACGGGGGTCCAATCCAAAGCGGTGCCAACAATTGGCCACTCCGGGGAAGCAAAGGATCCCTCTGGGAGGGAGGGATCCATGGAGTGGGGTTCGTACACAGCCCTCTTCTACCAACGTCAGTCAAAGGAACGGTCAATCGTGAATTGATTCATGTGAGCGACTGGCTACCGACTATTGTAGCAGGCATTGCAGGTGGAGCGTTGAATGGAACTAAACCCTTAGACGGCTACAATGTCTGGAGCTCTATCAGGTACCCTAGCCACCAGGAACTCTCCCTTTCCCTCTACTTCTTTTTGAATCTAGCGAATCGTTATATTTGAACTCATATCAGGGATGTTTAAAGGTATAAGAATCTTCTATTATGTACTTTTTTCATTAATGGTACTATGTCCTATTTGCAGGCCCAAAAAACTGAAAAGGTTAAATTCCAATGGCATTTGAAAGATGATACTGATTTAGAACTTCCCAAAAAGTGGGCTTGAAAATGTCTTTAAAGGTTAAATTCAAAGAAGATCACAAATATGTCAACTAATGTATCACTAGAAACTGGTAAGCTAACGGATGGCCATCATACAAGCTTTAGGTCAACTACATATCGGGTGATTTATAAAAATACAAATACAACCACCTCCATAGCAGCTGGGATATACGAGAGATTCGCCGGAAAAATAACGATGTTTTAATGACGTCACTATATGGACCGACACTGCCCAAGCAGACGACATCCCATAGAGAATGAACATAATTGCAAAGCTATTATTTCTCAAATTATAATGAGTTTAGTGTATATTAATGTAATAAATGTCAAACCATTCAAAAGGGAGTATGGCCTGATTCTGATAACTAAAATCGTTTGCTTGTAAATACTCAGGATAGGGGTTAATTAACAATCAAACAAACCAGACTTTCGAATTGAAAAACCCCCGGAATGATATTAAGGACGGCATTTGTTCCCTCTTGAAACGCCGAACATACCGCGTAGTGTGCAGCTGAATATACAACGACGTCTTATTTTGCTTAAAAGCGACAGATTCCTTTATTTTAATATCGCTGCATTTGTCATCAAAATAAACCATGCGCGGGGTTTAGAGTGAGGCAATAGATTATACATTTAGCCTGACGGTAGTGAAGTAAGAGAAAGACCTCAAGAGAAGATGAAAACACAGGCACTGAAAATGTGTGAGATGTCATGGGACATCGTCTGCTTGTACAAGTCATGTCCATACTGTGATCTCACACATCTCAGCAGCGTTCGGAGAGCTCTTCGGGTGCTATGCCGGGGCTGTATTTAAGCGTTTTGTAATTTATGATAATCATAACTTCGAATGTTTCCTAGCATTGAATTGTGATAACCTTGTCGAATCAAAGTTTGAACTTGCAATAATGAAAATAAAGTTAGTTTTTTTAAATCAATGAATATCTACTTTAAGTGGGAAAATAATGACTATTAGTTGTCGAATCGACTAAGTGATAACAATACAGTACGTAATAGTCTGATTTTCAGACCATTGTACCGAATGGTCGTACGTTTTGTGCTGCGCAAAGATTCAAGCAGTTTAATCTTGGCCATTACAAGAAGTGGGTTATTGATGTAGACAGATGCTCATGTACCCTTTACAGCTCTGTTTATGTATGTTTTTACCAAAGAAGAAGAGAAAAAAAGCCAGTCAGTCACTCAAGTAACAGTGAATTCTAGCAAGTAAACGGGTTTCCTTGCATAATTTGAATATTAGGACTCTGCTAACGTTTAAATTTCACAGATAGGACATACCAGACATATTCATAATGGCTGCAAAAGGGACAGAGTACCTTTAAAGCGCAACTCCATTTTGGGGGACTTTTTTTGTATTATTAAAAACTTTACGTATTTTGGTAAATTCTTCTCTTCCGAGACAGAACTTTCCTTTGGGACTCAATTAATCAAATATTGTTTTTCTAACTAACAATATTTTTCTTTCAATGCTATATTGTTCAAATGAAAAAAAGTATATTTGGGTAAATTTTTGATAGAAAAGTTGAACTAAGGGCAAATTTCGATCGAGAAACATTGATTGTGAAATCTCTCAATTTGTTGCTAATTTAAGGATTTGAAAGCCTGTTTTCCCATTAAAAATACCTTGCGTCAAACGCAATGTGGTTATGTTTTAAACATGGACTCAATGCGCGAAGGGATTTTTGCCGATGTCAATAGGTGAAACTCAAGGATATTGAAATCGCGTTTTTATTTACTTTCGCATTTGTAATTATTCAGTGGTACAGCCTCGTCCCCTCGAAAGGAAATCTTGCACAATATCGACTCGCTTTACGTCGCTCCCGAGATTCTACCGAATTACTTTGATGGCGAGGATTTTCTGTGGCGATTTTTGGAGCGAGTTTTGGAAGACAAATTCGATACGTCAATAAGAGCTGCGCTACGCGTCGGAGACTGGAAAATAAAGACAGGGCCAGACGGTGAGTGCCGCCAAATTATCTCAAAGTCATTCGCTCATTTTCGCAATATCAAAGATAAACTTGAGCTCTGGTCATACTACGACTACGACTACTTCTAGTAGCAGTACTGGTACTGATACTTCCAATTCGACTATTAATACTACTACTAGTACGACTACGACTACTACTTCTACTACTACTACTTCTACTACTGCAACTTTCAACACTACTACTGCTACAACTACCACCATTACTAATACTACAGCAAATTTTGTCGTCGTTGTCATTTACGTAAAAAACGTTATTTCTCTATCCCATCCTCTCTTTGTGACAATAGCATCGGCATCCGATGTGTGGCAGCCGCCAGCCGAGTCCGGACTCCACACGATATATCCGATAGAGAAACCGAACCAAAAGGTATTGCTCTTCAACATAACCGCCGATCCCCTGGAGCGAACTGATCTTTCAGGAAAGTATCCGGATGTTGTCGATGAGCTTCTTCAGAGATTAGAGGAGTATTACAAAGGTTCGGTTCCTGTGCGGTATCCGGATCCGGATTTGGAAGCGGATCCAGCCTTGCATGGCGGTTCATGGGGGCCATGGGAGTAAATCCATAGCAGGTTTAAGGTGAAAGTGCTTCAAACGATAACAATAGCAGTGGTTCTACTAGGACCCGACCCCCCCCCCCCTCGACACATATATGACATGAAAATGGTTGGATAGAGAAGAGGAATGAACAGAAAAGGAAAAATAAAATGGAAAAATAAACTGGAAGAAGAAAAGACGAAGCATTGGCTGAGCTAATTGATTTGTCAGATAATTTCGTAGCAAAACAGCTCATCAAAATCCAGGTGAAATTTGTGTTTGTTTGTCGTAGAACTTTCGGACTTTCCCTCCATCCTGTGGCAGAAAATCCTTGATCCACCAATTCACGTTGCAGTAACCCAACGGCTAACAAGACCGACAACAAGTAATTTCACGACAAGTATTAACCCTGATTTAAAAAAAAAGAAGTTGTTGTTATTTACAACGACAAATGAATACAATTGATCTAGACATCACAGAAGAATCTGTTAAAAAGCAGAGGTAAAATAAAAATGTTATTTATATTTACTATTTCATTACACTTTTGATGTAAGGTTCAATTGATACATATTCTGAATAAATTCTAAACTCGGCTTCTAAACGAGCGTTTAAACTAGAAATAAGAGGCAAAAGTATTGCTAGCTTGTTCCCTGTTAAAAAAATGAGTTCATTAATGTTCCACAAGACAATTTATATCATGAGAAACATGTTCTTTTTTTCTTATAACATAACTATTTTAATTTACTACACTTCTATTTTCTCTATGGCTTATATATATATATACCATACAACGACAGTATAATGCAATGATTGTGCACTCATATTGATATGGAGTTTACAATACTCTTGTCTATGGAAGAACGTGTGTTTCCTGAAAAAAATTTCAAGAAATCTGAAGTTGGTCAAATTCACGAAAAATGAGATACATTTAGGTCTTGCCTTAAAAAATAGAAACATTTTTAACTATAATTGCAGAATTTATTTGGAGAAAAAAATGGTGCTCATTATATAAATGTCTTACGTACCGAAAAAATAATAACCTATGGTTTCTACAGTTTGGTTTTAGACACGGTAATACGACGAATATGGCTCCTCTTGAATTTGCTATTACGATATCAATGTTTATGAGACTAAATATATTTTTTTTTGGTGATATTTTTTAAGTATTCAATTATATTAATCACAACAAAATCTATCGACGAGATTTATCGTCACGATATCCATGGAATAACACTAAAACGGTTTTAAAATGATTTCAATGACAGCAAACATTTTGTATTTGTATACAATAATAAATAAAATAAATGAAATATGTGTGATATAAATATAGGAGTTTCCCAAGGATCAGTAGTGGGACCGCTGTAGTTCCTTGTTTTCATTAATGACTTGCAATATGTAAGCCACATAATTGTTTGTGTTATATTTACAGGTCGCAAAATCTTGTCCATCTTTGTAAAAGATATCACTTTAATTAACCATTCATTAAATGTTGAATTAAAGTCTATTTTTAAATCGTCTACCAAAAACATATGGTACAAAATCAAAGAAGAAACGTGTTTTGTAGATTTCAATAAAAAACAAAAGGATAAATGAAAAGGGTATGCAAAGATACGTGGAAAACAATGACATTCAGCCATTAAAATAAATTGTTGATGCCTTTATTCACGAAACTTTACCTAGAGAGCACACAAATATATTGTTGGTTATGAGATGTCTACAACAATAATTGGTGCAATAAATCGTCTGAAATGTACAGTACCGAATCAAGTACTTTTAACTTTGTATCGTACAACGATTTTTTCATACATAATGTTGTGTTCTACCTATGGGCTTAAAGTGCCCGTTGCCTCCTAGACCGAGTTTTAGAATGTTTAAAAGGTGACATTCGTATTATTAGCAATTCAGCACCTCTTTCCTGTGATTCTGACCTTTTTTAAAACGTGCATTTCCAATCGAAGCTGTTCTCTTAATCTCAAAATAATGTATCTATATGACAACTTGAACGTGCCCCAAATAATTAGATTTTGGGGATGATGTCGATTCTTATTGCTTGTTTTTTAGTTTTTCTTTTCATTGTAAAATGTTACTTAATATGGCCTAATTATTATTTTCTTATCCCGAAAAAGGCACTAGGACTTTGTGAAACCCCCACATGTAATTAATTTAAAGTTAAGAATATACCGTTATTTATTCTATGTTCATTCCTACTGTAATATTTATTATGTTTGTTGTCATTCTTATCATGCAGTTGTATATATCAACTGTTTTAAAGTACGTTTGTATGAGTCAATTGAATAAAATTTCAATTTCAATATAGATTTCTGATGAATTTCTTATGAACAAAACTGCATTATTTCTTATAATTGCAGGGGCTATTTATTCTCTCTTAAGAATAATGATGTTTCACTATTTTTTGTAGATTTTTCTTAAATAATCATAATCTTGCCTTTTATGTTTGATTTTGTAATGTTATATTTAACAAGTCGTCTGCATGCACTGGTTTCAGCTATTTTTATGGCGTGATTTTCAGTTAGACATCCATATTTTCAACAGTATTTTAATAAACCGTAAACCAAATATCGTTGAACATCGTTAAATATAAAGGAACTTTCAGTATTTTTAAAATACACGATACTCGATCGGGAGTATGAGTTGAATCAAAGCTAAATTAAAAAAGTCAAAAGGTTAAGCACAAACAGACGCGGTGGAGCATTTTCCAAAATGGGGGGGGGGGGGGGCACCATCAAAATAGGGCACTTTCTGGAAGATAGGGGGCACCTATAAAGGGAAACATCGAAATGTAAATCTACCATATTTAGACATTGGTATGTCTATATACCCCTACATTTGTATGATTGTGATAACATTATCAGGGATGATTTTACTATTTGTTTCTCTCTTAACATGGTCCAATATGCTGTTAAAGAATCATACTTTGCAGTCGGGTGTGATGGTCTGAATATTGAGGAAAAAAAATAAGATTTGTGACGTCACAGGGCGAAAGGTTTTATAATGAGAAAAACAACAACAAATCCTGATGGGTTTTAAGCACAATTTAATCATGGAATTTAATCATAAACTGAAAATACATTTCATATGTAATACATTTATACCCATTATAAATAATAGCAAACCTCTAACCTGAAAAGATGCACTCACTAAAGATGAAAAAGGTACACATGAGAAAGGAAAAGGGGCATCTGTCGAAGGAAAAGGGGCACCTATCAGATTTTATTAAGGGCATTTATCAGAGGTGAAAAGGAGTATTTATGAAAAGGGGAAGAGGCTGTTATTAAAAAGGGGCATTTATCACAAGGAAATAGAGTAACTAATGAAAAGGGGGAACGTGTCAAAATAAAAGACGCACATATCAGAGGTGAAAAGAAGCACTTATTAGAAGGGTAAGGGGAAGTGCTTAAAAAGGAAAATGTCACTTTTCGAACGTAACATTTGCCCCCCCCCCCTCGGAAGCGCCGCCCTGTGAGCACAAAGCTGTAATGTGCATGCCTTTATTTTGCAATCTGATTTATTTTCTTCTTTTGCTCTGTTTTCCTTTTGATGTTTTTCTTTATTTCATTCTTTATGTGTTTGGCCAAATATACCTTTGTTTCACTTTTTCCTGTTTTTTTCTATAGTCTCATTCATGACATTATTATTTGTATATCCTCTATCTTTCTTCCCCTTTCTCTCTCTCTCTCTCTTTCACGCGTAAAAAACTTGGTCTTGGTGGAAGCAGACAAATCCAATAAGGGGGGGGGGGGCGATTATATAAATCGAACAAAGCAGAAAGTCATGAATATTGACAATCGAGATTGGTAACTTCCTTCTTGTCAAGTTGGTCCTGATGTATATAATACATAGGCCAGGGGTTCTCAAAATTAAAGTTGTTATCGATCTTGAAAGTCAAATAGCCCTTTCATTTTATTTCAGAAATAAACTCTAATACATCCCTTGATATTTAAATTGTACTTCCCCTATTGCGTGCTCTTTTTAATGAGCACAAAAGAGCCCTCAGATTAGGCAGCAAATGGCAGAACACACACTTAATACCGGACACAACATTCAATGGGGTGATGCCCAGATCATTGAGTTTGAAACGCACTTCTGGTCAGGAATGGCACAAGAATGCATCTGCATAACAAGGATAAATCCTTCAATGAGTCCAATAGCTTCTATTGGTAAATCAATAATGATAAATCAAAATCGATTTTAGCAACTGTCCACCAAAAAAAAGGATATTCTAATCTCAATTGCATTAACTTCATCACATAGATCACTTGGAGTGAGTTTAAGGGATTCATGCTATACATTGTTACCTTTCTTCGCTCCAGTGATCTCAAGGCAGCAGACAGCAAGAAATGGTGTAAATAATTTGCCTTTTCCGGGATAGTGTGGTACGGTATGTCACTGAAACAGCTCTCGTAGGATTTTTGTGCCACAGTTGATATGTTTTGCATTTTTGGATTGATTGGGGTCCAAGCTATCAGAAATTGATGGGGTTCAAATTTTCCCGAAGACACCAAATTTCCCTATTGCGCGTTATATAAGCCATTTTTGGCGCCCAATATGGACCCCCAGGAAATGAAGGAGGGGTTTGAAAATTTGAGCCCCATCATGTTTGGCCGATTGGGACCCTTTTGAAGCCAAAACAGCAAAAAATATCAACTTTGGCACAAAAATACTACGGGATTACATACCATACCGCATTAGGAGTCTTTAATTTAAAATAAAAAAAGAAATTCAAAATATTCGTTACGAGCGATAAAGATTGTAATCACCTCCGTGAAAGTCACATAGCCCCTTTCATTTCATTTTAGAAATAACCTCTATTTCTCTCTTAAAGACAATTTCATAGAACTTCTGTTTCGTATTGTTGTACTTTTGTCCGCAGACTTCTTAGGCCCACGGCATGTCGAGCCAACTCAGTCGGAAATGTAATATGTAGGCCTAAGTGTAAATTTAAGTTTCATGTTCTTCCTTTTTTTCTTTCTCTCTCCCTCCCTCTCTCTGTCTCTCTCCTTTTC